AGATACCTCTTAAAAATCGAGTTCATGGCAAACTGAAAGGTCGACGGTGCATTGCACAACCCGAAAGGCATCACTAGATATTCGTAGTGCCCTTGGTGCGTGCGAAAAGCCGTCTTGGGCACGTCCTCCTTGGCCAGCCTGATCTGATGGTAGCCCGCGCGTAGGTAGAGCTTGGAGAAGTATCGCGCGCCACCCAACTCGTCCAGCATGTCGTCGACACTTGGAATGGGAAAACGATCCTTCACGGTAGCCACATTGAGAGCGCGGTAGTCCGTGCAAAACATCCAATTTCCGTCCTTCTTCTTTGCGAGCAACACCGGTGACGAGAACGGGCTCGAGCTATGCTGGATGAGCCCGGACTCGAGCATCTCGCCCACCTGTCGCTCGATCTCCGTCTTTTGGAAGTGTGCGTATCGATACGGATGCACGTGCACTGCTCGACCTTCCTCGACCAAAGGTATGCGGTGGTCGAACTCTCGGTGTGGCGGCAGTCCCTTGGGCTCGTCGAGGACCTGGTCGAACTCCTCGAGCAAGTCACGCACCTCGCGCTGCCTCTCCTCGACCACCTGGTCGAACTCCTCAAGCACCTCCGCATCCTTACCTGTCTGCTCGACCACGACAGCGTACAACTGTCCACCACCTCGCCACACCTTCTCGATGTTTTTTAGACCAACCTCCTTGGTCGATCCCTCGCTCGCTTTCAAGGTAACCATCCTATCATCGGTCTCGAACTTCATCACGCCCTTCCGATAGTTGGTCGTTACGTCACCGAGCCCTTCGAGCCATTGCACACCAAGCACAACATCAGGTCCTACCAATGGTAAGGCAAACAGGTCCGCCTTTACCATTACTCCTTGAAATTTGATTGGCACACCTCGGTACACCTTCGAGCACCGCAGTCTCTCTCCATTAGCCACCCGCACTTCGAATGGCTTGACCATGGACGTGGGTAGTTTAAGCTTGTGAGATAGCGTCGCATTAATGAAGTTGTGCGACGACCCATTGTCCACGAGCACAGTCAGTCGCTGATCCTTCACCCACGCCGGCAAACGCATCGTCCTCGGCCCCTTGGTGCCTGCCATGGCGTGTACAGAGATCTCTGCCTCATCATCGAGCACCTCGACCTCCACTTCTCGTTCTTCCTCGATCACCGGCTCCTCGTCATCCGAGTCCACAAACTCGATCAAGTAATTCTGCTTGCATCGATGTCCCGGTGTGTACTTTTCCTCGCACCGAAAACACAGCCCCTTCTCACGTCTCCGTGCCATCTCCTCCTCCGTCAACCTCTTCACCTCGGTTGCCGGTGGCCTAAAGGCGCCCGGCGGCCTCGCGTTCGCCCTAGGTGCGCCCACGGTCGCCGGCACACGTCGCGGCTCCGGGACTCGAAAGTCCGCCCGTCCCCTTCGAGTTTCGGCCAAGTGATCCTCCCGTCTCCTAGAAACTTCCATGGCCTTATGCATGGTCTTTGGTCTCTCCAATCGCACTTCAGCCGCGAGATCATATCTAAGCCCTCCAACAAACGCGCCAACAAGTGCGCTTTCCGGCCACCCACGAACCCGGCACGCCAACCTCTCGAACTCTTTTTGGTAGTCACGTACACTCCCTGTCTGCCGGATCCAAGTAAGCGCCTCGTCGTGGTTATGATAGTCTGAGTTCCCGAAGCGCGTAAGGAGCTCCTGTTCAAAATCTTCCCAACGGATTGGTTGTTGCCACCTGCGATACACGCACGTGAGCCACTGCCACCACACGTTGGCCTCGCCATCTAAATAGTACGCGGCATAACGAACCCAGTCACGTTGCGGCATCTCATTTAAATCGAAAAATTGCACTGCCCTGTTCAGCCAAGCGTCGGGGTTGGTTCCTGTGAACGTTGAGAGCACGATCCTCGGCTTCTTGACGCGTGGTCGCTCATGAACGTTCGACGCCTGCGACCGCTGCTCGTACTCTTCCTCCTCGTCGAGGTAGTGCTCAGCCCGCTGCTGCTCTTGTTGCCTTAGACGCTCGCGTGCGTTCACCCGTGGTGGCTCCGGCTGCTGCTGTCGCTGGAACCCGCGCAACACCTCCTCCAGGCACTGCTCGAGGCGAGCTACGGCAGCGTTGGTGCTGACCTGACCTTCGTCAAGCGATCCAAACCGATCCTCCATGCTCTCGCTCATGGCCTTGAATTGGCCTTCTAATCCTTCAACTTTTTTTTCAACTCACCATTGGCCATATCTTTTATGGCTTGCCTACGTTGTCGACTTCCCGGACTAATTTTAAATTTTTTTTTTTTTGGCTTTTGAAGATTTTTTTTTTTTTTGAACGAACGAAAATTACGAAAGAAAAATTAAAAGAGAATGGGAAAGAAAAGACACACGATCGACTCTCTCAATGAAAGCACCAATGATGAAGACCGTGTGTCTCGATTGCCGACAAGCCGCTCCCGCGCCTTAAATCGTTCGATAGGTGTTAGGAAGTCGCACACTCGCAGCCTTTCTAACGAATAAAGTTGCAAAAGAATTCAAGGAGAAAACTAGAGCAAAGAGTTTGAACAAAAGTTCGGATTTTTGTATTAATTTCTAAATGATTAAATTAACAAGAGGAAGGGCCTTTATATAGGCATCAACTAGATCTAGTCCTAATATAACTATAACTCTATAAAGCAATAAAATATTAAGTATCCTAAACAAACT